CCCCCTGCAATTCTTTCCATTAATTGAAATGTCTTTAAACACACATTAACATGAATTTAATACACTGTAGTAAACAGATAAATGGAGGCAGAAGATGTCTTTCAGTCATCAATGCACACATTCAGCAACACACAGGAGCTCTTTCAAGCTGGGCACCGTTTCATTCACAGCACAACGCCATCAACCAGGTATCAGAATCAGAAATACTTTAATAATCCCAGGTAGAAATTACCTTTGCTACATTACTCCATCTGTATTAGAGTGCAGAGGCGTAGCCAGAAAATTTTAATAGGGGTGGCCAGTCAAAAACCAATGCACACTGAGGGGTGTCCAAAAGTGGATAGGCACCAGAACCTCAGGGTCAATCTACACTTTTCCAACAGGAACAAGCTCAATATCCATATTTTCTAAAGAAAGACACACTATACTTTCCTATAGCCTTTGCTGACAAATTGATGCACATATTTATACATCTTGGCGGTGCAGTGGGTAGCACTGCTGCCTTGCAGCAAGAAGGTTCTGGGGTCGATTCCCGGCCCGAGGTCTTTCTGCTTGGAGTTTGCATGTTCTCCCTGAGCATGCGTGGGTTCTCACTGGTTACTCCAGCTTCATCCCATGGTCTAAAAAACATAACTTTTAGGTTAATTGGCTTCTCTAAATTCTCCTTAGGTGTGCATGAATGGTTGTTTGTCTCTGTTGCCCTGCGATGGATTGGCAACCTGTCCAGGGTGTACCCCACCTCTCACCCGTAGACAGCTGGAGATAGGCACCAGCACCCCTCGCGACCCCAATTGGGATTAAGCGTGTTATAAAATGAGATGGATGGATTTAAACATCCATGCTGTCTAAATAAAAGGTATAGTGGACAAAATGTCTGGTGTGAACATCTTTCCCATTGTCATTACTTACCTACTTTTTCCGTAAAGGTTTAAAAAGATAAATTAAATAAATTAAAAAAATTTTAAAAATCCACTGGACTTGGTTTCCAAGATTTGAAGACATTTCTCTACCTCTCCAGGAACCTTTCTAAATTCAAATGTCTGGATCCGCAGTTACTTACTTTTATCAAAAATTGTTCAGCTAAAAATTCATATTTACATGTACTCATATCTACATTAAATGGATTTTTTTTAAGGTTATTATTGAAGTAGTTATTTATCTATGATTTCACTGAAGACTAGATGACTTGCAGAGACACATGATTATCTCTTTATCTAATATAACACAAGATTTAGTTCTTAAAAGAGCATGAATTCTGTATATATATCAACTTTAATGTTAGTATTTTTTGTGCATAATTAACCATAGCTTTTTGGTTGTCAAGTAACTGTTAATATATAAAAAATTTAAATTCTTGATAAGATTGAACATTCCTCTTGAGAGTATTACTGCTGCCACAGTTTGTATTAGAGGGCGAAAAAAATTAAATAGGGTCTCCAATGATTGGCTAAAGGTGGCCATGGCAACCCCTGGCCCCCCATCTAGCTCCGCCCCTGTTAGAGTGATTATAGGTCCAGTCTGATATAACACAATTTCATACAATATACATATACACTCACCAGCCACTTTATTAGGTACACCTGTCCAACTGCTCGTTAACACTTAATTTCTAAGCAGCCAATCACATGGCGGCAACTCAGTGCATTTAGGCATGTAGACATGGTCAAGACAATCTCCTGCAGTTCAAACCGAGCATCAGTATGGGGAAGAAAGGTGATTTGAGTGACTTTGAACGTGGCATGATTGTTGGTGCCAGAAGGGCTGGTCTGAGTATTTCAGAAACTGCTGATCTACTGGGATTTTCACGCACAACCATCTCTAGGGTTTACAGAGAATGGTCCGAAAAAGAAAAAACATCCAGTGAGCGGCTGTGGGCGGAAATGCCTTGTTGATGCCAGAGGTCAGAGGAGAATGGCCAGACTGGTTCGAGCTGATAGAAGGGCAACAGTGACTCTAATAACCACCCGTTACAACCAAGGTGGGCAGAAGAGCATCTCTGAACGCAAAGTACGTCAAACTTTGAGGAAGATGGGCTACAGCAGCAGAAGACCACACCGGGTGCCACTCCTTTCAGCTAAGAACAGGAAACTGAGGCTACAATTTGCACAAGCTCATCGAAATTGGACAATAGAAGATTGGAAAAACGTTGCCTGGTCTGATGAGTCTCGATTTCTGCTGCGACATTCGGATGGTAGGGTCAGAATTTGGCGTCTACAACATGAAAGCATGGATCCATCCTGCCTTGTATCAACAGTTCAGGCTGCTGGTGGTGGTGTCATGGTGTGGGGAATATTTTCTTGGCACTCTTTGGGCCCCTTGGTACCAATTGAGCATCGTTGCAACGCCACAGCCTACCTGAGTATTGTTGCTGACCATGTCCATCCCTTTATGACTACAATGTACCCAACTTCTGATGGCTACTTTCAGCAGGATAATGCGCCATGTCATAAAGCTGGAATCATCTCAGACTGGTTTCTTGAACATGACAATGAGTTCACTGTACTCAAATGGCCTCCACAGTCACCAGATCTCAATCCAATAGAGCATCTTTGGGATGTGGTGGAACGGGAGATTCGCATCATGGATGTGCAGCCGACAAATCTGCGGCAACTGTGTGATGCCATCATGTCAATATGGACCAAACTCCCTGAGGAATGCTTCCAGCACCTTGTTGAATCTATGCCACAAAGAATTGAGGCAGTTCTGAAGGCAAAAGGGGGTCCAACCAGTTACTAGCATGGGGTACCTAATAAAGTGGCCGGTGAGTGTATATGGGGGTCGCCGCTCCGTCCCACCATCAGTTTGGGGGTCCTTGGCCTGGAAATGTTGAACATTGAACATTCTCTACTTCACACATTAAAATTAATATTACAACCAGCAAAGTTTAATATTCATGTTTAAAACACAACCACTAAAACACAATTAAGTGTTGATGTAGAGAGAAGGTTGTGGTATTTACTGGTTTGGAAGTCTTTATAGCTTTGTTTCACCCTGGAAATTTTTATTTTTTATTAAAAAAGAATGGAACATCTTGTATTTAAGGTGTGTAGGAGTGTCTGTTATGTAAATGTCATAGTTCAGGTTACATCATGTTCTCTGAAAATGGATGTTAAACCACAAAAACGATGGAGTGAGGAGAGAAGCTGAGCATCTCCAAGTGGATGCAACCAAATGTGACTAAAATAAACAAGGCATCAGACACTAAAGCAGTTGCATCGAGCATCCTTTATGTGCAATACTTGGATTTTAAAGAACAGAATAAAAAATAAAAAAGTAGTTCAGACAGATTTTTCCCTTTTAAAAAAAACAACAGCAAAAGGAAATCATAGGATTGATGCAACCATTTTTCTGTAGTTGATATTTTTTCTTTTAATTACCAAGAGTGACATAGGAGCTGAAGTCATTTTTACCTTGAGATTGGATGTTACATATTGGATTTTGTTTTACTCTGGCCCAGAATTGGAAAATGACAGGATTTTATCTGTGTTACTGGGATGGGAGGAGAGTGGAAACCCACTCCTATGTCACCCTCTAGAATGGGGGTAATCTCTCCTGTATTTTAGCCCGGTTCATTCCGCTCCTTATGACCACACAGGGTACCCTACAGCAGGGTTTCTGAACCCTGGTCCCCAGGGACCATTTTCCTCGATGTCTTAGATGTGTCTTCCCTCAGGCTACAAAATGCTATTGATGACCTTTTATTCAGTTCAGGTGTGGGGGGGCAGAGAAACATGTAGTAAAGTTTGCCTTTAGGATCAGGATTAAGAAATTCTGCCCTACAGGATACCTATAAAGGACACAATATTCACATTTTACATCAATGGGTCTCTGGCACTATGTCAGGCAATGTTTGGGTCTAAAACCAAACACATGTAGATGATCATGCTTCTTAGTTCAGTGCGGCTACATCCTTTTTAAGAAACCACATATCTTTATGGTATATGGGCTGAGAAATGATTGCATTTCTTTAAAGTTAAAAGGTGATTCCATTACTGCTGCTTTTGGAGGGATCTGTTAAAACACCCTCTGCAGAAACGTAGGATTTACCTTCCTTTGGCAAAAAATGAAATTCCACCTACTTTTCCTTTAACCCTGTGTACCTCAAACACTCATAATCTATGTCCAACTTTTCCAAGAGGTACTCAGATGTTGATGAGAACTGCAATAGTTACCTGCAGCTATCTTTGAAACATTGCAGGGCCATCACATACCTGTGTTAAATAACTAAAACAGCCCAGAAAAGCTTGAAAGAAGCAGCCTTACATCTATCTTCCTTATCCATGGCCTCTTGGTGATACCCACTTACCAGATTAGTGTCAAGAATTGTTTTTGCACCTTTCAAAACATCAGAACTGTTATTGTTGTGAAGAAAGGGAAACGTATTGCTCTGAGTTTTGAGATTGAACGTCTATTTATAAGCCAAAGCTGTCAGCGGCTTTGTGGAACACCATACTGGTGAGGAGTAGGCCCTTTAAATGTCTCCTATAAAAGTAAAGAAATTGGTTCCTGTACTTCTTTGTACTTATAAAGAGCTAAACGACTATAAGGTTGTTTGACAGTTGCTTTATCTGCTAACTTGATCTCATACCTATTTGCATAACCAAGATTTTCATCACCCTCTGGAAACACCTTGCTTTTGTCAAGTTTATCCAAAATCCTAGTAGCAAAAAGTAGTTTATTCAAGCATACTAAAAGTGCACTAATTTCATACTTAGAATCAGGGGGTGCACTTAGAGTTTACTTATTTCATATACTTAACAATAGTAGAGTCAAGTGTACTTGACTTACATTGAGAAGTATAAAAAGTGTTTACTAAAGTATACTTTAAGTTACTTTAGAAAAAATTCAAAATGTCCCAATTTAGTATACTTCAAGTAAACTACTTTTTGCTAAGGTACCTTACAGCTCTGTATTTTAATCAACTGAAAACCTGTTCAACATCTGTCCAGATCCACTAAAAAAAATCTGCTGCCTCTTAATATTACCAAAAGGTGAGATAACGTCTAACGTTGATTGGAAATGTAGGATGAAGGAATACTGCCTGCTACCCTAGCTGTTGTTTTATGTGAGACTATTATCTGTTGGACGCTGTCCCCTACCTAGAGTCTAAAACCCTCTCAAAGTGTTATCTAACTTGGCTTCCAGCAACTGTGGGTGTCTCTGAATAAAATGTATACCAATTATGCCCTCTACTGAAAAAACAGGATCCACTGAGTATTTGAAGACCAAGAAAACACAGTTAAGGATAAACCATTCGTCTTAACTTGATGTTTAGGAATTCCCAGAGCATTAGCAGCAACTATTCGGAGCCAATTAGTTTTTATCACTAACACACTCCGGTATACTCTGACAGAAATTTTTGTCAGGCTACTGATTTGTCTGTCAATGCGAAATAGACAATGAACTATACTTTCAGGAAGATTTAGGTAAACTTCTGAAGAAACGTCTATGCAGCTCGCTCATCTTTTCACAATGGATTATTTGCTTTTGGGGTATTGGGATTTTTACTAAGTTTAGTTATCATTTTTTCCCTTGCTTGTTAAGTGCATCCAAAAGGTCAAATAAACTTAACTTTTCAATAGTTTTAATTGAATAAGGACTCCATTGCTTTTCTTTTAGGAGCTTCCATTACATCCTAAAATTATGTTGGGTTTCCTGTAGCTCTAGTTTATAGCACTGTGGTTCCGCTGGGTCATGAACTTTGCTTCAGACCTAGGTTTTTGTGCAAGAGACTTGGTCTCTGATACCATCTCTTTAGTATCTGATTATTATAATTAGCAAGAGTTGGAAAGAGTTCAGAAAGCACCGAGGTTATCACCAAAGGAATCTCTTAGGTAGATCTGTTACAGCTTCACCATCAGTTTTTCCGGAGGTCTTCAACAGTCACGAAAGTTTTGGTTGATTAGACTTTTTTATATATCCCCCCCCCTGCAATTCTTTCCATTAATTGAAATGTCTTTAAATCCACATTAACATGAATTCAACACACTGTAGTAAACAGATAAATGGAGGCAGAAGATGTCTTTCAGTCATCAATGCACACATTCAGCGACACACAGAAGCTCTTTCAAGCTGGGCACCGTTTCGTTCACAACACCTGTCCCATCAACCAAGAATCAGAATCAGAAATACTTTAATAATCCCAGGGAGAAATTACTTCTGTTACATTACTCCATCTGTAATATAGTGACTATAGGACTAGTTTGATATAACATAATTTCATACAATACATATATAATTAGGAGGTCCCCGCTCCATCTCACCATCAGTTTGGGGGTCCTTGGCCTGGAAAACGTTGAAGACCCCTGCTCTACAGTGTATTTTACATATGTATGTCAATAAAGATGGAAAAGATTAAGGTTGTATTTGATATGTTGGATTTAGTTCAATACTTACAACTGTTTACTAACAATAGTCAATAAGTTAAAGAATGAAGTGTAATAAGGACTATTGGCACCATGCACAAAGGAAGTGAGATGTGGATCAAACTGAGTAGAAACAAACAGAATGACTAAAAGATGATTGAAGCCACATGTACTACCAGATGCCTGCAGCTTTCCACAGCAACGATCAGCTTCAAGTTCAATATAGTAAGATGATGTAGAGGATAACATAAACTGAGTCTTTATGTTCCTTTTTTAAGCATAAACTGCGCCCTCTGGTGATACATTTGCTGAATGGTCACGGTCAGGACCTTAGCAGTAGAAAAAGACAATGACATTTTTCATTAAATCCAGATAAAAAGAAAATCTACATTTTCTATAGTGATTGGTAAAATTATTTATTTATTTATTTATTTTAGCTGATAAGAGACATAAACAAAAATCTTATTTCAAAAATAAGGGGGAAAAAACAGTATATTTCAAAGGAAAAAACAAAACAAAGTTTATTTTTCCTTCTTTTTCAAGATAAGGCAGTTTAATATATATTTTGGCATAAAATAGAACTGTGCAAACATTTTAAACCAAATGCATTATTTTCCTTCCATATGGGATGTTATTTTCACCTTTTAAATTAGTTTTGTTAAACTGAAGTGTTGATAAATGTTGATTAAAAAGTCCTATCAGCCTGGTACGTTTTAATTTTTTTAAATACCTCTTAAATTAATCATTTATAAATCAAGTTTAATTATTACATTTAATTAATTACCTTTTTTAAAATTCATGATTAAACCTCTAATTAGAAAAACCCCTGATCACGAATGACTGTATGAGAAAGAAAACATCCTTTTTTGTAGCTTTAGATGGATGCTGTGTTAGTCATCTCCTCCACAGATCGCCTTGATGCAATCGCCGTACTCTCCTCCCACATCAGACTGCAGAACATTACAAAAAAAATTAGTTTAAATCACATAAATAAACAAAAAATATGTTACATTATTCTGCATAAATTGTTTTGATAGGATTTATGATAACGGCTATGTAAAGAGAAGCCTTATTTAATTGTTTTTAAACAGGTATATCTAAAACTGTGAGCCAGGGTTCAGATTTAGCAAGTCATTAAAAAGTCACAGATCTTCGTACACATCTGTGATCAAGACAGTAAGGTTGATAGAAGTTAATTAGAATTACTGCCTAAAGGATATTTCAGTAAACATATAAAAACTAAAAACAGGATCTATTTTTAGTTTTTAATTTGGTTCAGATGAGGGTTGTTACTCTTTCACGATTTTTAAACAGCAGTAAAAGTTGAGTCAGTTAGAGAGAGTTTGAACTGAAATCAATTAAATATTGATGGTCAGATGGAGTAAATATAAAGTTTGAATGTTTTTTTTTTAATTTAATTTCTATTCTTATGAGTTAAAAAAGAGAAGCAAATAAAAAAAACAGGATCTCAAGCAAACTCCTTGGTTAATGCTTGATTTCATTAAAGTCTATATTGTTTTTGAAAGGCAGCAAATTAATTCCAATCTGAATATTCCACAAGTTTTTAACTCGGTTAAATTCGACTCGCTGATAAAATAGAACTGGAGATGAAAAAAAAGATGAAAAATGACTTTAAATCTGTCTTTGTGGTCCGACTCACATCGAGGGCAGAGAACAGAGATTCTTCATAGAGCTTCTTGAACTCCGCTCTGATGTCCAGCAGGTCGATCTCAGATCGGCTCACCAGGATCCGGGTCAGAGTGGATTCATGGGTACCGCCCCCCTAACAAAACAACAGGTGATTGGCACAAGGAAAATAAATAAACCTTTTAAGGATTCCTACATTACATCTGATGAGGTTTTTTAATAAGAAATAATCAGTATCATTAACATACAGGGGTCCATAAAAATATTTACACCTCCTGATTATTAGTGGAAGGGAGAAGAAAATTATACAGAGTGTGGATGAATGGAATATGAACATATTTAACTAGTTTTACTGTGAAACGCTAATGTGTACTGCAGCCAACTGCCATGAAATTAGAAATCAGTATCCCTCTGTGTTTATTTTAATCCTAATATTAAGACAGCTGCCTTCTGAAGGATTTATGAAGACTACAGGTGGAGTGGCGGCCTAGTGGTAAGGGCATAGGGCTTTGAATCCTGAGGTTGTGAGTTCAATCCCCCACGCCCACTGCTCCCCAAGGGGATGGGTTAAATGCATGGAAGTAATTTCCCTCTGGGATTATTAGAGTATATAAAATACAAAAAAATTAAAATACAAAAAAATACAAGTCCAGGCCATAAATCAGCCTTCACTCAACCATCGACCAGAGCTAGAAGGCAGCTGAGAGGAGTTGCAGATATCCAAAGAAGGGTGGATATCTATTGATTGTGCGTACCACAAAATCCTCTATGGATGACTGTCTGGAGCTCCCCTTAGTGCTTTGTCATATAGAGGGCAACCTGTGTAAACCTTCCAAAAGCTGAGCCTGGTTCTACTGGAGGATTCTTCCTTTTAAAAGACTTTTTCCTCTCCACTGTCTCTATATGCATGCTCTGCGCAAGGGATTGCTGTTGTGTCAATGAGTCGATGCAATTAGCTTGTTTTCCTTAGATACACTGGAAAAACAATCTAGAAATAAGTAAAAAAACGTCTTAAATTAAGTGTATTTACCCATAATTTGAGCAGGTAAATTGGATAATTTGCCAATGGAATTAGTATTTTTACTCTTAAAATAAGGTATTTAGATAATATGCACATAAAATAACAATGCAAATGTGTTTTCTTATTTTAAATGTAAAGTGTCTTGTTCTAGTGGCAAAATGTCTCTTTTACCTCCTCAATATAAGAACAAATGCACTTATTTTAAGAAAAAAATGTCTATCTACATTTTGATTTTTTTCCAGTGTACAAAAACACTTTGAAACCAATGAATTTTGTCTGTAAGGTGCCTTTAAATAAGACTTGTTGTAAAGTTGCACTATATAAATAAAGTTAACTGAAAACTGAATTAAACTGAAACTTTATCCTTTCTGAAATGTATTCTATAGAGCTAAAACATAAAAACCTGTGTTAAAGGTAATTTCACTTTACCCATAGTGAGAAGAAATGCCATAAAAAAAAACTGTTGTGTTTAGAGGTATGAAAGAATGGAATAATCTGCCAAAACACATCCTGCTTGCTAATAATGTCAATAAATTTAAATTATATCTAAAACAGCATCTATAAAAATGATATAATTGAATGTTATATTCATTTATATTTGTGTGCGAATATGTATGTATATGTGTAGGTATGTTTACAGGTGTGAGTGTAGATTGTGTTTTTCAATTTGTGTATATTTTTATGCCCACATGAGGGCACATATGTATGTGCAAATGTTTATATATTGTATATGTATTTGTATATGTTTTTTTTCTTTTCTTTCCCTTTCATTTATTTGTTGTATTCTTTGTTTTGTTTTTGATATATATATTTTTCAGGACCCCAGGAAGCATAGCTGCAGTATAGCTGTAGCTAATGGGGATCCTTCCAATAAATCTCCAACTTAAGCAGTTTAACTATGGAAAAACAACATATTTCTGAAGAAATCATGGACCGTCAGCAACTTGTTCGCTAACTAGCCAAGAATGAGGTGTGATTTCCAAATGGAAACAGCAGCTGATTACCTTCATGCTCTCATGCAGGAGTTCTGCAAAGTACACGGGTAAACTCTTGGCGCATTTCACTGCACAAATACCAAGTTACAGAAAAAATGAAGTTAGCAAAAATGGAGCGCAGCAAATGAAACACTGCCAGCGCAGGTTTGGGTAAAGTATTTCTTCCAGTGATTCTATGGTCCAGTTTACCAATAGCCACCAGCAGCTCTTCCAGCTCTCCAGACATCTCTCCTTCGATGCTCTGTTGCAGCGTCTTTCCACTGATGTTCAAGTACTCGAAGAAAGCTGCAGAAAACAAAGCCTTGCTTTACTATTCTTATAATGCTGGCGACCCCAATGGGGTTATAAATCCTTTATTAAACGAGGTCTGACTCTGTCTGAGCTGAGGAATGCTTCTTCTGCACAGGATCTCGATAAACTTGGACTCATCTGTGCCCCACTTCTTCTCCCCGGCTTTGTAAAGGGTCTAAGAGAGAAAAAATACAAACATTTGAACTTTGTAACTCCAAAATATAGACATTTGTACTATTTTTGGTTCACTTATGTCTTGTACTCTACCTCAGCATCTTGCTTTGCCTTTTCTACGTTTACAGAATTGTCCTCATCTCTCTCAGCCTGGAAATAAAAGCAGAACTTTTATCATTAAGCAGGATTTCATCTCTGCTTAATGATGCACTTCCATCATTGTTAACCATCATTGTAGGGTAAGTTTGTTAGGGTAATTTTTCCTTCTTTTTACCCCTGCGAGGATGAGAAGCGCTTTGGATAAATCTCCAGAGACATCGCTCTCCAGCTCATCCGTCAGCTTCTTCTCTTCTTCTGCAGAGAAAGACATAGAATCAATAGAATAGGATTGAGACTCTGTTTTCTACAAAAAAAAAAAGAAAAAAAGGAATAAAACTAATAATGCTGCCAAACCTTTTAAGAAGACCTCCTGAATAGCTCTGATTTGTTGGTTGGTCCTGGAGGCAAATATTTCAATCAGGATTTTCTCTTTTGTACCGGCTCCCTGCAAGGCAGAAACTTTGTTTTACGGTTCAGGTTAGACCTTTAAAGCTTATGTATTGTATGTGTATAACTCAAATTACATGGTAAAATGATAAACTATTTTAAAGAAAAAAATATATTATAATATATTTCAGTAGGAAGCAGACTTTCATGGCCCGTATGACTTCATGGCAGTCAAACGCTGCTGGGGGAGTGATAAGCGCCACCAGAAGGTCTTCAAAGTCGCCACCGGTGTCTCCTTTCAGGTCTTTTTCCAGCGTCTGTGGTGCAAACAAGGCTGTCAGTATTTAAAGGTTTACTTTCACTGTGCTCTGCGCCACCACACCTATGCAAATACACTCCACCGCCACCTGAACCCAGGTAAGATGACCCAACACAGAACCTGATGGCTGATTGTATTAAACAGCAGGAGAATCTGAGCAAGTATGTAAGGGAAACATAATTACAGACCATCTAAAATGAATGAGTTTCACATTTTCCACATTAACTTTAAAGATATTCTTCCTGTAAGGTATTTAAAGGCATAATAATGACTGGAAACAGATGTTTCAGCAAGAATTCAGTCTGAATTTTAAATCTTTGGTTTTGCTTATATACCTCCTGTTCCCTCTTTTGATTCAATGATCAATGATACATTGAATTTGTAGCAAAAACCAAAAATATTAGAGCTGCACAATATATTGCAGGTGTTATTACGACCTTCCTTCGTATTCTTGATGTCTCTCTGCTCCAACACACCTGATTCAAATGATTGCAATTACTCCCCCAGCATCAAGTACTGAATACTTTTAATCTTTAATTCATTTAAGTAAGGAGTGTTGCTGCAGAGACACACCCAAAACACACCCTGAGAGCTACTTCTCAAAGGACTATTTAAATCTTGTGTAATTCACTTAGCTGCAATAAGTGTTTGCAAATTACTTAAGAGGCTTTTATATTATAGGTGTGACTTTGACTCAGTATTATTTTTGTAGAAGGTATACGTGGTAAAGTTATTAAGAGAATGCTACATCAGTCTTTGACGAGAAGATATAAAGCCCTGTCGCTGTTATGGAAATAATTGATTTAATATACTGTAATTGATATCATCACAGTGACAATCACTAATACTGTTTTCCTGATATCCTGCAGCCAGCAACATAAACAGCATGACATAAAATTGTAAGGATATAAAAATAACCTGCAATGTGCACATAAAAAAAAAAAAAAGAAATATTATGAATTGAAGCCTATTTTCTTCTCATGCCTACAATGAATGATTGTTGTGTTAGTCATGTTTAACATTGCTATAATAACACTGGAGAATCGGGCCTTTCCTTCATTCTTCTTCCTGCCTGGATCTGCCCGTTTAATTTGCTTTCAAACTAATTTGTTTATAGTGAGGGGAGTGCGTAGCAGGGGGCGTTAATCTAAACAAATCATGCTTTGACATTTTCCAATCTAACACTCTAGTTTCCATCATGTTCACAGGGAGTTTCACCCTTTAAAGTCATACGGAAAAATGGAAGAATGAAAGAAATCTTACTCTGCCAGTCTCTTTTTCATATGCTTTACAGATGAGCTGCCTTTGAGCGTTGCTTCTTTGTGTCAAAATTTCAATCAGGACCTTCTCATTAGTTCCTAAAAGTGTAAGAGAAACAGGCTAATTGTTTAGTTTGATTGATTCCATGAGAACAAGTAAAAAAAGCAGGTCTGCAGCTTCTCCTTCACTGCCATGAGCAATCTATACAGCAGCAAAAGCAAATAAAGACAGTTTGTGCAAGTTTATTTTGGATAGAACTTAGCTGGGTTTTAAATTTCTTTTCTTATTATCAGTTGAAGTTGAAGACTAAAACCAAACAGTTTAATAAACTGCAAAAAAAAAAACATCTTTAAAAAGCAATTTATTTAAGACCAAAACTAAAATAAAAAAAAGTGGAACAGCTTAAGCAAAAGGAAGACATAGAAGCTGAGAAAAAATAATATTTCACATCAATGAATCTGAGACACAGAAATAAATATTAACAGCAGGAGAAGTGTAACAGGGATACATCCAGCTAAAATAGTCAATGCTAACCTTTAAGCTGTCACATCCCGTCTGAAGGACGCATATGGCGCTTCATAATTAGCAGCCTTATACGTAAGGCAGCATGTGGCTGTAGGCTGCACCCGCCAAAGGGTTAAAGAACAGCAGCTGATCTAACTCAGGCTTTTGCAGATGTTTGATCAGGTGTGTTAACAGGTTAAAACAAGAAATTACCATGTGGAAAACATCTTTAGCATCTTATGAACGACAAGAAAAATAAAAAATATATACTATATATACATAAAATACTGTGGAATATAACACTATAACTCATTCTGTTTTTTATTATATTGTTCAACCCACACAGCAGCCTCATACCAAAATCTTATCTATCATCACGGAGTTTTTGAAGACAAAAAGCCAGCATGTATATATATATATATATATATATATATATATATATATAAAGTTCAGCATCGAGTTTCAACCAATAAAATAAAAGCAAATATACTCTAAAGTGATTTGAAGATTTTACCGAATCCTTCAATGGCTTCTTTCAGAGCTGCAGCATCTTCTTTAGCATCGAAATTTGCTTTAGGCTTGATGGTTCCTCTGTGTCCGTTCTAAAGAACATATCCATTTAACCGTTAACTACAAACCAGTCTTCTGTCTGTCATTTAAAACTCAACAAGGTAATGGAGGGAAGGACCTACTTGAGCAGAAGACGACACAGGTGAGTTCACAAGACCCTCTAGGTCATCCTGCAAATAGGAGATGTTTTAACATACCTGGGGGGGATTTTGAATAACATTGAAAGCACCAAATAAGAACCTTTCTCACCCATAAAGATCCCATGATGAGGCGGTTCTTCTGTTAGACATTAAAACAAAGTCTCAGTGACATTTAAATATTCATAAAATAAGGCCCCTATTTCAATTTTCAAAACTCAAACATTTATTCAGTTTGTTCAGTCATTTGTAAATGTATGCTGTATCTCACTGCAATCTGAATCAAAAATAGATTAAATCAAACATACATTTACTGCCTTCAATGTATGTAGAGAATGTGACGGTTTCTCTGTGGAATGTAACAACTTATCTTTGAGTAGCAAGAAAAACAGGAAAAATGCACATATGTCATTGTGTAAATGGATAATAGCTTAGCATTGGACCAAGGCAGCTGAAAGCAGCTCTCATTCAGGGATGAGACTGTAAAATGATTGAATGCCAGGCTCTTTAACCCTACTTACAACAGGTAAACTGGTAAGAAAACAGCAACTCACAAGGAAAACTAACAAATAAAGAGAGAAACTCACCTTTTTCTTAGTCTTTCAAATAAAACGTTTCTTTCTGCCACACCTGCAGCTGTCGTGGAGACTCCAAATCTACCTGTAGAGCAAACGGTTGGCCAACCTGTTTGGCATGTTAGGTGACGCCTTCAGGGACACATCAGCTAACACAGTCCCACCCCCTACTTTTAAAAGAGCACAACCTATAGAGCTATGGCTGAAAGTATCAGAAGTGAAAGTAAATAATAATGGCAATGAGAAATGTATTTTGCTTCTGTGCATAAAGACAACATGCCTATTACAGTAATTTAGTGTAGTTTGGCACAAACTTTACTTATTTTATTAAAGTATACACTGCAAAAATTGTCCATCTAACCAAGTATTATAATATTATATCTGTCCAAAAAATATTTTTGATCTTCTTTTAAGGTTGCTATACTAAGTAGTGTTGCACCAATGCCAATTTTTTGCCTCGACACCTGGTTGTGCTGTATCGGTATCAGCCAATGTGTGTGTGTATTTATATGAAGAACTAGATACTACTTGGATGTAAAATAATTGCCATCATGGCTTTGTCAAGCTGCTGCCTACCTTTGTGAAGCAGGAAAAAGACTAATACAAAGTGAATCCAGTAAAAGTTTTTATTGCCAACCTGGAATGGATGAAAATAGTTGAATAAACTTTTGGCTCTCAAAATGGTATCAGTGCCCTATTTGTTGGTACTTGCTAATACCGATACCACCATTTTAGTGCTGGATCGGGGCCCCGCCCGATACTGGTATCAGTGCAACACTAAACTAAGAAATAGATATATAATCTAACAGAACCTATGGTTGCATATTATATTATCTTAAAAGAAGCTTCTTGGATTGGTATAAGATTTTTAGACTGGGTTAGATGGATCTTTTTTGCATTCTAGTGAAATCAGCTCAGGTTTCAGACGGATTTCAATCCAATTAGCAGACTAGTCACCATTAAAGAGGAGCAGAGGTGTGTGAAAGCAAAAACTTCTTGTGTCAATATGAAAGAATTAAAAAAGTGGTGAAGAAGAATCCGCACTGCGGCTCTTTGGATAAATATTTCACAGAAAAATCCTTAAAAGTCTTAAAAGAGAAACATAAAGAAAAAGTCAAACAACAGTGATGTCAATGTTTTCGACTTTTGAATGTTTGAATTTTCCCACCAGGAAAAAGTTTTCATGTCACAGATGAACAATTATAGATAAATAATTCAAACACATTTGAAATTTTCTAGGTTTTATTAGTAAAAAAAAGGCACCAAATACAGGCATCATACTAATATTACTGTGTTCTCCAAATGTTATAGCACCAAAAATATATTTCCCCCAAAATTCCCCCATGTTCATGTTTAATAGGCACACATGTTAAAAAAAGAAATGGTGAGAGCAGAAAAATAAATCACAAAAACTGATCTTAAAATAAGTACATACCGGTAATTCTTAAAATAAGTGTACTTGTCTTTAATTTGAGCAGGTAAACAACATTTTCTGCCAATGGAATGAGTATTTCTGGCCTTAAAATAAGATAATTACACATTAAACCCTTTAAATAAGATGAAGGGGCTGCTTTTTCTTATTTTAAACGTAAATCATCTTATTCCGTTGGTAAGGTGTGTTACTTAACTGCAAAAACAAGGTAACATACACTTATTTTAAGAAAAAAAATACATATATTTCACAAACAAACCAGTGTCAAACACTTTAAAACATAACATCAGTAGCTGGGCTGTGATATAACACATCAGACAAGAGTAATTCAGTGATGCATAAATGAATCAAAAGTAACTGAGATGCTGAACCATGAGTCTTTGGGTCGAACAAATGCAGGCAGAGACACCAATCATATAAAATACATGTTTAAAAAGCGTTTCTTTTCACTCAAAAGGTAGTAAGGCTGAAGCTGTCAGTCAGGTGGATGGATTTGGAACAATCACATGGAAATAAACACTCCTACGCTCTTCAGTCGAAATACTTTGGATGACCTGTTTTCAGTCACGTAAGAACAAAATACTGCATGGCACTTAAAAACTGGCAGCTGTGTGAATACAGTACAGGTATGGGCATAGGAGAAAAACGTCAAAATGGCAGTAAATACAGATGTTTAAACCCCCACTTTAACACTGAATGAAGACCCCCCCCAACGTAAAACAAAGAAACCTGCAAGATCCTGACCAGGTGATAATGGGAGCACAAAGAGCATCAAGTTAGAGGTTGAAGAGGCATGACCAATGGATCACAGAGGATTTATTACCTGGATATAACACAATGCAAGTGGCAGAGACGGAAGCAGAGTCTTGTTGAAGTATTGATACTGTCTTATGGCAGGTATGCACTGTACGAATTTTTGCCCTTTTCTGGGCAGATTTTCCAGTTGTGCGAGAATTTTTTGGATTGTGCCGAGTTTCAGCCTCATCGTGCGTCCTGCGTCATGTAATATACAGGGGGTAATGATGGACATTAGCCTCTCACGACCAACTCCCGATCAGGAATCATAAGGTCGGGAGAAAATCAAACATCTTTGATATCGGCCGTTGTAAGGTGTTCATGGACAAATCCTGCTGTTGAGGCAGAGCTACGGGCGTCTACGAGCCGATTTACCAGAACTTCACGCACTACGCATGTCCAAACAGGGGAGTTCGGTTTCTACTTCCTCCAGATTGACGTACAGTATGAGCAGGATAGATCGCATTAGAGCGTCGGTCCGTACAGTGCAAGAATGTACATCGTAAGCTGTGAACCTTTAAACCCTGTGGCTTGCCACACAGTTTGAGCTAAAGCTGAATGCAACGATTGAAAATATCGTACAGTGTATGCCCGGCTTTATTAGGGACACAAGCGTCCCCAATGGCAAGACAGAGCACAATAAGCAAAGGTAAAAGGTCTTGATGTTGTTTTAATAAGAACACACATGGGGTGCTTCGGTGACGCAGTGGTAGGAGCATGCGAACCACGTATGGAGGCCTTAGTCCTCAACCGACTTGGGTTCGAATCTGACCTGTGGTCCTTCGCTGCATGTCTCTCACCCCCTCTTCTACCTACAGAAAATGAACAACTTGTGCCGTAAAAACCCTAAAAAATTATAAAAACACAGTTGGCTCGCTGTAACCAAGTTAAGAAACTAATTGAAGCTTATGGTCTGAAGATTGTTGCAAAAATAGGTAGGGTTTGGAAAGGTCATAATGAGGTCTTGATGCGGTCTTACTTAGAACACTGAGGGCTCCTAACAGAGATATTTGATGTGCGGGGCATGATATGTATAGATCTAGGTGTGTTTTGGTGATCTAGAGTAAAGGAGGTGTAAATAAGGCTTAAAACACATTTAATGAAAGAAGTCAAAGCTCTTTCTCGTGAAGAAGGGAGTAACTAAGGTTGTGACATAATCGCACTTAAAGGTTTCATTCGTTTTTAAGTTATCAGCACTCGCGTAGCCTGCGACAGACACCAGCACGTTCCTTTGTGCCTTATATTCAAGCCGCTTCAGCAGATGCAGGAGTTGTTTTAGTGATTCTTATATTGCAGGACTAGTTGCGTGATGGATGAAGTGAAGATGCAGCAAAGCAGAAGGTATTTTCCTGCCTGCTTCTTCATACAGCAGAGTGACGTTTATATCAGTGTGATGTAACTATGCAGAAGATAAAAATCACCAGTGTGGAGCTACTGTTCACCTCGATGGATGTGAAACCAATATGGATTTAGAAGAGAACAGAAATAAAGATGAAGACCATGCAGCTGAGCAGTTTGTGGATTCCTGAGTTTGCCCAGTCGCCTGCACGTCACACTCTTCCCTTTTTCACTGTGGTATAAAAATACATAAACAAAAACATCTCTGTTCTTTAAGTACGAATCCTATTTTAGAAAATAAGATATTTTGATTCTCTTTTCACCGATTAGTCCTTCGTCAGTGCTTCAGACCTCAGTGCCGTCGCTGAGGTTGTTGTGGAGTTTCACTTCCAGGTTGACCTGTTTCACTTTGCCGTTGGCCTCTTGGCTGCGGTTGATGTTGACGTTCCTCACCGTGCACTGCTTGGTGCTGAAGTTCTTCTCCATGCACTTGTCCATGCACACCTCCACCTTGGTGTTGAGCGGATACTCCTCGCAGGTTTTCGGGACCTTCGTCACCTTTTTGGCCGACCTTCTGCAGCGGCGGAACAGGAAGCAGGAGGCCAGCAGCGCCAAGACCAGCAGGGTGATAGCCGCCACCCCCCCGCCCACAGAGCCGCCCACATGGGCGTTGAATGTGGCTGACGGGCCGACCTCCAGGCGAAGCGACTTCATGTTGGTGCCGTTCTTCACCTGGTCGCCCTCGTTGTCGTAGATTAGTGATTCGTCGAGCGTCAGCCGGCCGTTACGGTCCACCACGTCTCGTTTGGGTCGGTGCAGCTGATAGGTCACTGAGCGCTGAATCCTGGGGCTGGAGCGCGACTCTGGGCCGATCACATAGATCACCTGCAGGTACCACTGGTGGCCCGCCTCCACCTGTCAGTCAGACAGATGCATGAAAGGGATCAGCCATCTAGGTGGATACTATACATAAACTTTTCTAATCATGATGGCTGCCGCCCAAACATTTAAAATCTGAAGTAATCTCTCTTTGCAGGTGATGAAGCAGACACAAGACTTTTTATCATGGTCTCCCTTTTGTCGCCTCTTTCTTTCATCTTTCATCATGAAAAGATACCCTAAACAACTTGAGAACAGGAGGTCTACTCACTTTGTAAAGAGCGTCCACCTTCATAGTGAAGCCATCAACACCAGGCATCGCCGCCATGGCCTGCAGCTCTGGGACGTCCGAGGCAAAATCAGCCTCGAAGGGAACGTCATGAAAAAACTTGTCACATACGTCCGGCTGTTTACGATCCTGAAAAGCAAAGATGGGGAATATGGGTATAGTGATGCAATCGGGATTTTTTATTTCTATTTAAATTTTGTTGCTTGGTTGTGTAGCGCAGACTTTAACCATAACCAGACCATAAATGTTTACCAATAACAAAAGCTAAGTGAATTAAAACAGGTAACCATATGGTAATGCAAATATTATGAAAGCTTTAATTATTTTTTGGAGTATTTCAGAGAGAAAACGGTAAGGACATGTTAAGATCATATTAGATTAAAATAAACTACAATATTATCAGAAGAATTATTAATGAGAAATATATTGCA